TAACCATCTGGCCATGCCGGGCCTGTTTAGCTGTAGGGGTTTGTAAAACTATAACCAATAGTAATAAGGCTGGAGATACTGTCATAAATATACACATTGTTTACTCTAATAAAACGAAGCTTTTCCGACTGGTATAATGATGCTTAAATGGCTTATTCATTTCTGCGATGCTTGAGTGGCTTCGAAGAGCTTATGTTGGCAGCGAAGATGAACTTAGAAAATTTTAGAGGGTGTAACTCTCGATTTTCAAGAATCAACTTAAAAATAGCCCTACAACCTTCGCAGAAGTTTTTTAGCAGCTGTGCATACATTTTGGCGCAGTATACCTAGCCGTTTTTGCTGTAGAATTCGGTGCTTGAATGGCGATTAAAAAACTGATAAAATATCTCCTCTTTCAATAATCGACATAAAAATAGTCTTACGACCTACACAGGAGCTTTTTAGTAGGTTTGCCCAGGTTTAAATAAAATATTCATAGCCGTTTTTTCTGTAGGCTTGTGAAACAAGAATAATATGACGAACAAATGGATGAATGTTGTCTAACGATCGGAAAATCAACTTTTTTGCTAATATCAATATTTTAACAGCCTTACCCATTGAGATCGAAGGTTTTGAGTGTTGTTTCAAGAACAAGTCTGCTTTTTAAGATGGTTTTTGCCCGTATGGTATGCTCTATTAGAATTTTTGTGAAATTCCTGGGCGATTCCTATTATGAACCACTATCGTGGGTCATGATTATGAAATTACATGAACAGCAATTGTTATGGTGTGAACTACATTAAGTTGGTGAGGTGTAATTTTCAACAGTTTTATATGAGACATTAACAAATCAGGATTAAAGTAAGGATTAATAACACAATATTATTTATCTCATTTTAACATTCAATTATTTATATATTTTTTTTACTTGAATTAACTTCATTCATCATTCAGAAGAATTGTGACTTTTATGGTAATATAGTACTATTGTTGAGGTTTGCCTGTAGGCACAGTGTAGTTGCCATGATGATAATAAAAATGTGACTTGTGAATTTGTGTTATGCAGTTATACCATGCATTCCTACCTTCTTATTTAATGCAGATTTTTTAAAAACTTCTATTTATTATGAGTTTATGAAGTTTTCCATCTAACGTGTCGTCCAGAAATCTGCTAAATTGGCTTCGTTCTACCAGCCTTTGTTCCTTTGTTATTTTTTGGAGATAACGCCCGTACTGCCTGTGGAGGCATGTTGTAATACTACACGTTGTACAAGAATGTAGACGACAGTAATGTCACTGGTAGGTCAGATAATATCTTGAGGTTACGGCCTCCCCTATGTTAAATGAAAATGACCAGTCACGTGAGTAGCGCTAGTCGCTATAAGTAAATCTGACCTTTCCAATTATGTAAGAAACGTTAGATTTAAACAGTCTCAACTGAAATGGTTAACGGAAAGACATCTCGAGGGAAGAAAATCAGTTAATATATTTACGACTCCAGTGAGAGGAGACCGTCCAGTGTCCAACATATATACGTACAACGTGTTTTTGTTTTTGGAAATAAATAAAGATTGTTTCCACCTTGTATCAGACATTGTGTTCATTCTCTTTATTTCTTAGCTTAAACTCAGTCATTTTTTGTTAAATTCAACAGTACTTCGTGATTTATTTTGCCCATCCCCCCGATATAAAGTGAACCTACCCTAATATTCTTTACAAAAAATCAATTTACTCTGAGAATACCACAAATTTGTGACTGGTGATGGCAGTATAGGGCCACCGTTAATGTGTGACTTTAAGTGATAGCATATTCACCATGATGGCCATGAACTTGTGATTTTTGATGGTAGTGCAATACTCTCGTCAAGGTGTGACTGCAACTATCGCAAATTTGTGACTGTAAGCAATAAAGTTACTGTAGATGACAGTATGTAGACTGTAGTTTAATGATCCTGCCGGTTTTTGTTTTTCAGCTCTCCTGATGAAAGTTGTTCTAGCCAAGTCAGCTTGCCCTTTGGTTACACCAGTCGCTGCAAGCAGAAGTACATCAAGAAGAAGCTTTTGTCTCTTGATGCTGACGGACAAGGAACTTCAGAGGAGAACTTTTTTGTTCCCTCCTGCTGTGTGTGCCAGATTTCCAGAAACTCCGAGAAATAGGACTTGTCTAGTCTTGTTCGTCATCTGGATTACGTGTCCCCAATGGTCTACCTATGGACAGGGACTAGTCATTGCCTTACAGTATTCTTAGAATTGAGATATACCTAACCACAAGTTTTTCAAGAACGAGTGCTCTCTCCAACGCATAGTGTACCCATTTCTTATACACGAATTCTGTTTTTCTTTTTATGTATAAATGTGAAACTAAGTTCTTGTTTTATCTTAAAATTAGCAAACGTGGTCATCCTTACACTGGTAACTCCTATTTCACGTTTTCTCAGTAACCATGTAGGAAGTTTTCTTTAATGCCATTGACTTATTTCCCAGCTGCTCATTGTTAATATTCAACAACCTCAAAGAACTGGACAATTTACTGGCTTTTATTTTTCATTCTGCTTTTTCTTTCTCTCTCTCTGACATTTCAGTTGCTGTCCTAGTCATTCGAGATGTCTCTTCCAACAAGTTCGAATATATTACGTAGTTGCTGGACCATAAACTTGTAAATTATTTGCTTTTTTACCAAACATATCGGTTCCTAGTACAGTTCTATGTCAGAATTTACAATGAATAATGTTATTAAACTTCTAGATTTCTAATATATAGTAACCCATTCACCTAGGAACTGGAGTACATGCTCATGAAACCTAGGATATGTGAGTGTTTTGAAAACTTGATAATAGTGTAGTTGTCTTTTTCCTTGAATGTGTAACTATTTAATATGCACTTACACGTACAATGACAAATAAAAATATCATTGTTGTAACACGAGTTTCTGGACCTTATCTTTCCCACACCTTAAAAGTTCCATGCTGATGTTTTAATCAGGTTGCTCATCTACCCAAACTGTTTGATAACTGGTTATAACTTAGTTTTATCATTCTTATTCTAGTTGAATAGTTTATTGATATAAAAGGAAAACAATCAAATGTAAGTAAACGTAATCTATTCTTGTAGAAATGACCATCCTTCACAAGTGGGGATTCAAATTAATGGCTAACAGTTTGTAAGATAAAGAGGTCAGATAAACGAGGCCTAATATTAGTGTCTTGAACATAGTGTGATGTTGTTACGTTACTTAATTTCAACGTTTTCAGCACAACCTGAGGTGATGCAACTTAGCATCACGTTTTAAACGTAAAGCAGATATGTTATTAGGGAAGATAAACCTATTAAATATTACACTGAATGTTTCAAACATAGTCTGAAACAGAGTAATTTAACACTTTTTCCTGTAGGCTGCTGAAATCACTAAACACAAAAACTGTTAGAAGTGTTAAAATAGAAAAGCTAAACCTATTAAATATTACACTGAATGTTTTAAACATAGTCTAAAACAGAGTAATTTAACACATTTCCTTTCAAGTTAGGCTGCTGATATCACTAACGAAAAAATTAGTAGTGTGTACAGAAAGCCCGAACATTTATGGTAGCTATTTCAGACGAAGGAACAAAAATTCAACGTGGCTACCTACAGTATATTCTATCACGTGATAATTTGTCATTCATAAATTGAGAACTTGAAAATCAGTCACGAAAAAGGTGATTTATGATTGTTGCTTATTTTTATTTCAAAAATGATTCTTATCTCTCGTGAACCGATGACGTTTCGCACGAACACAAAATATTCTAGTGGACTCATTTGGAACTATTGTTAAAAACGTTTGGCCTCTATCTTCTTCGTTATCAATACCTTTTGAACAAATGTAAACTAGCTGTATGATCAGAACTAAAGTAACCTATTAAGATAATGGAGCTAATTCTGTAAAAAAGACTGATTAGTTGTACATAATGTCATAAACCAGCACACAAGAAAACTGAAACCTATAATGAAGAGAAAGCATTGAATCGTCAAATGAAGTACTCTCGTTGTTAACGATATTTTCAGCGGTAAGTTTAAGAATATCTCACGAGGTTTGGTCAGCTTAGGGAGACACAGGTTAATCTAAAATCCACATACTAAGTTTAACTAACAGTTCAAAATAATCTTTTTTAAGTGTAAACATTGAGAATATTAGATACGTTTAATCATTCTAATCAATAGTATTAATACAATTAATGTTAAATAAACTATGGAGTACTTCATTACTGACGCCGCCTAGTGGCTCAGCGGTAAACTTGAGGGGTTACACGCTAAAAATCGGTTTTCGATACCCGGGGTAGGCTCAGCGCAGATAGCCCATTATGTAACTTTGCTCTTAAGCACAAACAAACAATAATTATTTTCAAAACACATAAAAACGAGGCGTTTGTTTTTCTATTGTGCTGCTTATTCCCAATCGAGCCAGATGAGGCACGACAACCCCAAATATTTGTTTTGACAATCATTCGTAAAAAAGATGTTGATATACAATCTGTAGACATAAAAGTTATTAAATTCCCTAAGCAAGTCTCGAAGAAGTGTGAAAAAAATAAATAAATATTCAAAACATTTTTACATCTTTTGGACAAGGATTTTATTAAACCTGTAAGTCTCGTTCTTAATCGATGGAAGCGAACTGCGAATTTTACTTGCTATTGTTTTATTATTAAGCACAAAGCTACACAAAGGGCTATCTGTGCTCTGCTCACCACGGGTATCGAAACCCGTTTTCTAGCGGTATAAGTCCGCAGACATACCGCTGTGCCACTGGGGGGGGGGGCTATTGTTAAAAAATCTTTCGTCAGTGACCTTCCATTGCTAAGCGGTAGCCTCGAGGGTTTGTAGAGCTAAAATTTGAGGTTCTATCTCTGTGTTGGCGTGAATAATGTGCACATCTTTACACTATATATAACTTTCCTTATTTTTTTTCGGATTCGTAAAAACAACATTAAAAAACAAATTCCTGAGAATATAAAGCATATAAATTAAGTTATTGTTGTTGTTTTGGTGCAAAGCTACACAATGAGCTATCTGCGCTCTGTCCACCTCGCAAAATCAAACCCCGGATTTTAGCACTATACGTCCATACAGTTACCACTGACCAAGTATAAATTAATAAAGGAAGCTTTTTTTTGTGTTTTTACATGTATTAAAGTATAAAGATACATAGTCGTATTGCACTCTTTCGGGGCTAAAAAATATAATGTTCAAGCTTGTATTGTTATCGATAAAAAATTATTTATTCTTAGCCACTGGAATTTAAATGAACAAAAATTTATATAACTTCATTTCTTATAAAACCATTCAAATGTAACGAATACATTTATTTATCCAATCTTTACTCTAGCAAAGGTAAGATATAACTTTTGAATGCCTATATGCTCAGTGAACATATTCATATTAGAGGGTAATATTTCGTCCGGTCGAAGTAAGAGGTCAGATCTCCATGCTCAATGAACATATATACAAACAAACAAAAAAAAAACTTTTCCGAAAAGAAACTAAATGTAGGGATGGCTAATATCAATCCTTCAAAAATATTGCAAACGAGATAGTATGGATGGAATTTGCATCATCCCTACATAATAGTACAGGCAAGAATTAACGTATAGCAATATATATATAACTATTCAATCACAATTGAGTTTAATTTATTCCATTTTCGTCTGTTAACATTCTACTACACTGTGTGCCTATGCAAAGAACGCAAGAACTTCAATTCCATGTTTCGAATTGACTACGGGGCAAGTGTCAAATCTAAGTTCGACTTGAAAGAAACTGTTTGTTATGAATTTCGCGCAATGCTACACGAGGGCTATCTGCGCTAGCCGTCCCTAATTTAGCAGTGTAAGACTAGAGGGAAAGCAGCTATTTATCACCATCCACCGCCAACTCTTGGGATACTCCTTTACCAACGAATAGTGGGATTGACCGTCACATTATAACGCCCCTACGCCATTTATGTGGCCAGAAATAGAATAATAAATATATTCAAATCAAACTATCCTGAAATTTCAGTGTGTACAGCCTTAAAATCAGTATTGTTAACTTTATAAGATAAAGGACAGAATTAATAAACTTCAACGTTCTTACGTCGTTTATCGATATGTTTATTCTCGAAGTGGACGAGATTATGTGAGATCACTCGTCGTTTAAAGCAGTGTTTCCTAACCAGCAGTCCATCACAATCATTTTACGGTGAGTAGGGGTTTGAGAAAAATAAGTAAAACAAAAACTGACAGAATGTTCATGTGTAAATCGTTCGACTTACATTTTAGAGTTACGTATAGTTTAGGAAGGCAGCGAGCCGGTCCCTGGTGCCAAAAAAGTTGACAAACATCTGAAGCATACCGAGCAAAATTTTAAAAATATCTACAGACTTCTAGATTAAGAATGTAAGGAAAATACTGACAAAAAAAAAAAAGAGCTTTGTATAATTCGTAGTTCCAACAAATAATAAAATGATAGAATAAGGGAGACTCTAACGATGAAGAAACTAAAACCAATATTGAATTCCAACTCATCAGCGATAGAAATTATTCTAAAATCTGTGGAAGTGTTAATATAATGGTAGTATGAACGAAATACGGGATAAATAGGGTATATATGAAAAGAATAATATTGTTACACCTCTGTGTTCGTTTGTTAATTTTCCGTAAAAATTCTTTCCGAAGAATCTTTAGCGATACAAGTCCTTTTTTAAATAAAACTAGTTTATTCTTTCTCAATACAACTTTGCAATACACTTAATTTCCACAGTCACGCTATAACTTAAACAATAATTCACAATGAACGAACGATTCACGCAGTTGACTCAATGGTCGTCTCTGTCTGCAATTCAATTCCCAGTGTTGCCGTCACTTCTTGGCGGTCTT